GCGCCTACTTCTTGCCCTCGGCGGCGGCCTTCTTGGCCTTTTCGCGGAGGCCGGCGAGCTTCTTCTCGTTGCGGTCCTCGCGGAGCGCGTAGTAAGCCTTGAAGTTGTTCATCTCCTCCGTGACGGCGACGAACTCGACGGGCGCGGCGGCGGCCTTGGCGGGCGCCATGAGGACCTTGTCCGCGCACTGCGTCGCGGCGGCGCGCGCGGCCGCGTCGGCCGTGTCGCCCTTCTTGGCCTTGGTGCCCTTCTTCGGGAAGAGGACGAGCTTGGCCTTGTACTCCGTGAGGCGCGCGACGTTGGCCGCGAGCGACTCGGCGCTCTTGTTCGTGCGGCGGCTGTCGACGGAGATGCCGATGGTCTTGGCCAGGGGCACGGGGATCTTCGCGGCCTTGAGCTCCGCGAGGCTGAAGCCGCGGCCGAGGCGGACCTTGGCGCAGTGCTTCTGCGTCGGGCAGTGGACGACCGGGCGCAGGCGCGCGACGGGCCGCGGCGCGACGGCGGCGGCCTTGGCCGCGCGCTTCTGCCGCCGGATCTGCTTCTTCGCCGGCTGGTCGAACCAGGTGATGACCTTGAGCGGGCCCCGCGACGAGCTCGCCCACTTCTTGTGGAAGTGCTGGTTGGGCACCTCGTTGTTGTGCTTGACCATGGTTTACCTGATAGGGGAAGCAGGTCAGGCGGCGCGTTCGTTTCAGGGGTGTGCGTCGCGTCGCTCTCGCCCCGGTCTCGGCGGCGGCGAGCGGCTTCGGGGCCGTCGGCGCGCGCAGGGGGCGAGCGGCGCTCCGGCGTGCGTCGCTTACGACCGAGCTCTCAGTCCCGGCGACGGCGGCGGCACGGCGGCGGGGCGGCGGCGGCCCCGCGGAGCGGCGGGGGCCGCGTTGCCGAGGCTGCCGCACGAGAATGGCAGCGCACGCTCGCCGAAGCGGCGCGGCGCGTCTCCACGCTTCGCAGCCGGTCCCCACGCCGCCCGCCGTCTCCGCCGCATTCCCAGGCCCTCCGCACTCTCACACACGTCGTCTGAATGTCCCAGACGCCGCTCATCACGTCTCAGTCGCCAACAAAACTGAGGGCCGGCTGGGCTTGCGGCGATGCGATGCCAAAGCGTCACCTAGTTAAGTCTAGGATCCTGAGATCTAGTTAGTAAGGATCAGGAGCGGAAGCTTCGTAAGCAGGGCCTCCATGGTGGAGTGAGGCTTCAGTAGTGAGGCCGTCGCGACGAAGCGTGCCGTCGCCGACTCTCGCCTGCCGCGGAAGTCGGTTCAGTAGTCGCGTGCTCGGCCCATTCAGCGTCCGCGGCGAGGCCGGGACCGTGTGACAGCAGTGCCCCGATCAACGTACATCTAGGTGCACCCGTACGAAATATTAATAAAGATCAATCATCGAATTCCGGCCGGCGGAGCCAGAGTCATTAGTCGTCCATAGAGGCTGTACGTCGACCGCGCGCGGTGTCGCGGAGGTCCGCGGGCTGAAATCACGGCCAAAATTGGGTTATGGTCGTATCAAAGCAAGCTCGATGATATTCACGCGTTAATTGCACGTTTGCGATGACTTTTTGCGCGCGGTCGCTGGTTCGGGTCAGGAAATCGCAAGATTTAACTTCAACAAAAGTGCTGAAGTTCAACAAAAATGTTGACTTTAAATCCAGGCTATCAGAATCTGAGT